ACAAATCTAGTCCCCACAAAACCAGGACCTTTGTTAGATTTATAGATATTCTCCTTAACCTGTAACAAAATTGTTCTCCAAAATCAAATCTAAAACAATAGACGTTGGGTTTGATGATCTAGTTTAAGAGATTTAATTAATTGAAGGAAACCTATTAGGTGGGATTAATAATGATTATGCATCCTCTTTTCACGTACGATTAGTCTTCTTCTTTAGTTTTGTCTTCTTTAGCTTTTTTCTCCTCTTTGCCAAAATTTCTTCTCTTTCGCTTTTACAAATTTCTAGCAAAGAAGAAAAATAAGACAAAGATTTCATTCGCTATCTTCACTTCTTCTTCATCGGTAATTTCTATCTCAACTTCTCATTTTGTCAAGCACATAAAAAAGTACTCTCCTTTATTTATTTTTTTCCGGGAAAATTCGTTCTTTTTTTGTTAGTTCCCTTTTCTGGGTAGTGGTCGTACTAAACACGCATCCTTGTGTTTGTTAAAAAAGCTGTGGAGTCTTAAAGCAGCCCTTTTTTTGTTGAATTCAACAAAAAAAAAAATTCCGGGTCCAACCATCTCTGCAACATCGTACTCGAGGGAGGAGACAACACTGGCAAAGACCTTCTCCGTTGTCTTCTTCACTTGGAGAACTCTCTCTGTGTTGTGTCTTCTGTACTTGTGGTCTTTGTCAGCCTTTGATTCCGCTTTTTTGTTTCTTCACTATTCTCTTTCTCTCCACCACATATACATGTATGCATCTTCTTCTTCTTCTCTGTAAAGACTTGATCTTCCCAAATAACCATTGATTCTCAAAAACTTAATCTTGAATTCACTTTGGATTTTCAGTTTTGCAAGCTCTTCTCCGGTGGAGGTTTTTGGAGGATTCCGGTCGTTAATGGAGGATAGGGTTTTCTCTCCATGTCCGCTACTGAATCCGAAGTAGACGAAAAGATACTTGAGCTTGAAAATTCAGTCTTTATTCAGCTGATGATTCTTGTAGGAATTTGATCGCACACTTGGTAGGCCAATTAACATGAAGCAACAATGGCAGTTTGTGATCCTCTGTTTGCTCGTCTTGTTTCTAGTGGTAGAAGCTTTTGGCAGACGGCTACTTGACGACCAGAGCGAATCTGCTCTGTTAACAACGTTCAAGCAAATCTCCGTCAAGTCGGATCCTCACAATTTTCTGGGTAATTGGAAATACGGGTCGGGTCGTAACCCATGTTCTTGGCGAGGCGTCTCTTGCTCTGGCGATGGTCGTGTCGTTGGTCTTGATCTACGAAACGGTGGCCTTACCGGAACCCTAAATCTCAAAAATCTCACGGCTTTGTCGAATCTCCGGAATCTCTATCTCCAAGGAAACTCCTTTTCGTCCGGTGAC